GCGTCCATCAGGAGAGGATGGTGAGCAACCCCCAGGGATGGTGAGTGACCCCCAGGGGTGGTGAGTGACCCCCAGGGATGGTGAGTGACCCCCAGAGGGTGAGGGCTGAAGACAGCGCTAGCGTCCATCAGGAGAGGATGGTGAGTGACCCCCAGGGATGGTGAGTGAACCCCAGGGATGGTGAGTGACCCCCAGGGATGGTGAGTGACCCCCAGGGATGGTGAGTCACCCCCAGAGGGTGAGGGCTGGAGACAGCGCTAGCGTCCATCAGGAGAGGATGGTGAGTGACCCCCAGGGATGGTGAGTGATCCCCAGAGGGTGAGGGCTGGAGACAGCGCTAGCGTCCATCAGGAGAGGATGGTGAGCGACCCCAGGGGCCGCACTCTGGAATACTCTGCGGCAAGATGGAAGGAGCAGGCAGACCCCATGAGCAGCATGGGAATTGCTCCAAGACAGGTTGTCGATGAAGAAGGCAGGGTGAGAAAGGACGCCATCCCGCCCGTGTGTGTGCACGTGCATATAATTGCATGTGTGTGTGCATATAATTGTGTGTATGTGCATATAATCACGTGGGTGTGCATATAATCACCTGTGTGTGTGCATATAATCCCATGTGTGTGCATATAATCATGTGCGTGCATATTATCACATGTGTGTGCATATAATCCCGCATGTGTGCACATAATCGCAGGTATGTGTGTGCATATAATCCCGTGTGTGCATATAATCGCATGTATGTGTGTGTGCTGATTTCCCCCCAAAGCTACAGTTCCTCGTGGGGACCTGAATCTGCCACCAAGACCCTCAATTAATAACTCACCTAAATTGCCCTGGAAGTACCAGCCGACAGAGTCCTTTAATAGAATGCGTGCCAACCAGGGCTTCTGATTGGTGGAATAGGAGCTAACCAAGGGCTGTGATTGGTAGAGTGCCAGCTAACCAGGAATTCTTATTGGTGGAATGCTGGCCAATCCGGGCTTCCGATGGCTGACCACCCAGGGGTTCCTGTTGATGAAGGTTGGTTAATTGAAATTTCCAGGTGATATTGCACTGGATAAAGTGGATTTTTCTGCAAATGCCTGAAAATTTCTGATAGCTCTTTCGGGGTTTTGCATTTACAGTTACGGTCTGTAAAGGTCCTACACACACAGTAAATAAAGATCCACTACCCTCTCAAAAAAAAAAAAAAAGGCCTAGAAAAACTGACCCCCAACTACAGCAAAGTTGATTGAAGAAAAGGAGGATTTTTACTTCTTAGACGTGTGTGTGTTGCATTGAACATATTACAAATTACCTTTACATGGTCTGACACACACAATCCCCACAGCCTGCCTGAGGCCCTACATTTCAAGGCTAACGTCAGTCAACCAGAGAGTTCCGAGTCAATGGGAGGCTGAGGGCTGAGGGTGGGAGCTGAGAAAGTGGCTCGGCGTCCTCACGGGGATGATGGACAGCAGAACACAACCTGTGAGACCGGAAGTGGGGACCACTGAGAACCTGCCCATTCAGTGAGATGACCTGCTCAGTGACCGCCCTCCCCACACACAGCCTGGCCCCCCAACACACACAGCATCATCGCCGAATTCCTCAGCTACACTCCAGGTATTGGTGGAGCTGCCACACGGAAAACCATGGGTCTGACAGAGTCAGAAACAGAGAGCTGTTCAGAGTGACTGCTGAGTAACGAATGTGCGGTGCGCAGACAGAGGGTGAGCGAACGGCTGCAGGAACCTGTAAGCACCAGAAGGATATGCGCACCTGCAGGAAGACTCAGTCTCTCACACACAGTCTGCGCCAATGAAGCCAAAGTCTGGCTGCTCTCCCAGGCTCCCCTCCAGCAGGCAAGGCCCGGCACCTGCTTCTCCAGCTGTGCGTCACTCACTGGAACCTGCTCCACGAAGACAAGGTGCTCCTCTTCCCATCCAGCCAAACCAGGGACTGCTCAGGTCTGGAATAAATTTTGCTATGTCCTTCCAAAGAGATGAGAATTAAATTCAAGGAAATGTCAAGAAATTCCTGTCAAGAACAGTGAAAGGGCTGAGATTTTACCCTCCTTACAGCCCCAGGTTCTTGGGTGCCGGCTGAAGACATGAGACTCCTGGGTCAGAGACAAAGACTTTGTTACTCACAGCAACAGCCGTGGCCAGGGAATTGGCATTTCTGCAGCAATATCCTGAGCTCCACTCCCTGCAGGGTTTAGGAAGAAGGCAGACAGCACCTGCACCTGCAGTGGGTCCGTTACAGGGAGGACCCCAGAGCCTAGGGAAGTCAGCTCTTTGCTGGAAGATAGGATGAGTGCCTGCCCTTTTTCCTGGAGGGAGACACCATCTTTATTATGCTGGATGGTAACCATGCCTGCCTGTGCCCCAGAACGAGACACTCTCTCTATCTTCCAAGGCTGCAGGCAAACCTGCCTTGTTCTCTGGAGGGGAGGTGGGGGAGGGAGACACTCTCTTTATCTTCCAAGCCCTTTCCCCATACAAACACCCAGAACAGATAACCAAGCACAGAGGGCCGTGGGAACCTCCCTCGCAGGATGTGCACAAATACTCGAGCCCCGGGAGTGGCTCCGCTACTCCATCACCCTACAGTACCAACTGGGGTGGAGTGCGCGTGGACCTGTGTTCTAGTTTAGAAATGAAGATATGTTATTTTTATTGGGATTCTGAAATACAAAAAAAATAATTGTGAGGTGCTGAGGCGGGCCGCTTCTGAACTGACCCCCAGCAGCCCCTGCCTCCTGGTGAACTGACCCCCAGCGGTCCCCACCTCCTGGACTCACCCCATGTGTGGGCTGCCCCGGGTGCCTGGCCTGGAGCCAGCAGAGCACAGCAGAGGGAAGGTACATGCTGTGGTTTCCTGCTTGGCCTCTCTGGATCTGGTGTTGAAACGTGTCCCTCAGCCTGATAGGAGGTGTTTGGGTCAGGGGCTGGGGGCTCCTCATGAGTGTCTTGGTGCCGTGGTCAGGCCTCAGTCCTCACCGCAGTGAGTGAGTTCCCACCCATGCAGAACAGCCCGGTGCCTCCCTCTCTTTCTTTGCAGCTTCCCCTACAAAGGTGACCTCTGTGAGCGCCGGCTCTCCCTCCCCCTCCTCCAAGAGCAGACACAGCCTGAGGCCTCACGAGGAGCAGATGCAGGCACCACGCTTCTGGTGCAGCCTGCAGAACCGTGAACCAAATAAATCTCTTTCTTGATCTGTTGCCCAGCCTGGGGTTCCTTTATGGCAAGGCAGTGGACACAGATAGCAGGGCGCATCCAGGTCAGCTTAGGAAGGGCCCAGGCTTCTCTCTTCAGCCCTTCTCCTGGGCTGCTCTGGGAAGGCACTGTCAGGGGCAGCCCAGGGGAAGTGTCCCTGTGACAGAACTGCAGGAGCCTGTGACCCACAGCTGGTGGGAAACTGAGGCCCTCCATCCAACAACCCAGGAGGACCTGAGTTCTGCCCAAACCACACGAGGAGTGGCCTGGGTTCCAGCTTGGGAGACGCCCTGAAGCAGAAGACTGAGCTAAGCCTTGTGCAGATTCCTCATCTGCGAGGTAATAAATCGTTCTGTCTTAGGCCACTGAGTCTTGGGGTAATTTGTTAGGCAGCAACAGAAAACTAACACAAGTTGGGAGTAGTGGTTTCTGCCTGGAGTCCCAGCTACCCAGGAGGCAGAGGGGGGGTGGATCACTAGAGCCTAGGAGTTCAAGGCCAGCCTGGGCAACATAGCAAAACCTCACCTCCACAAAAATTAATGAAAATTAAAGATAACTAACACAGCTATTGAAAAAATTAAGGAAAAAAATGGCTACACACATTTAGTAGTAAAGTTTGGAGAATTTTGTTGTTGTTTCTCTGAAATCTGAGTTTGAAGCAAAGCAAAAGTGTTGTTACTTGGATAACAGCGCAAAGGAACCTATATCTAATGTAATTTACAGAAGCGTTTGTCAAAGGTGAGTTATCTTCCATGTAGAAATCATAAGCTAGTAATTCAAGACCCCATTACTACTATTTGTACTTAACTACTGCACTACTTAAAGATTTTATTGGATAGCTTGGACAAAGGCGAGAGCTTTAGGGAGGAGCAATTCTAGGTAATAATGACACAGTGACATTTGGGCTACAATATGGGTAGTGAAACGGCCTCTCCAGAGACAGTACCCCGGAGCACTTTCCTTTTCCTCGGAAGCCCGCGCCATTCCCTCCATTCCATGAGCCTCCGCCCTGAAGTGGCTGCCCTTTGCGCAGAGGGACAGCTCCCCGGCTGGCACCGAGACCTGGGCGCTGGCCCTGCCAACCCTGCGGGGACACGGGGGCTCCCAGCGGGCAGCCGCCCGAGGCTCACATGTTGTCCTTGTCAAACTCGCACATGAAGTACATGGTGGTGTGGCAGGCCACGTCGTTCCAGCCGCCCGAGGCCACCATCTCCACACAGTCCTCCTCGTCGTAGGCGTTGTTGGGCTCGCCGCTGCGCCACTTGTTGAAGGTCTGCATGGGGGAGCGGTCGGAGTACACGAAGGCGCCCTCCCGCTCCAGGTCGTTGATGCCGATGAAGACGCGGGCCAGGCCGGCCTGCGCCAGGTATGCGGCCATCAGGCCGTTGGCAGCCTCGTCCTTGGGCATGCCCAGTGTGCCTCCGCGGCCCTGGCAGGACAGCTGGGCGTCCGCGTAGCGCTTCTCCTCCTTCACCAGCAGGTAGATCTTGCTCTCTGTCTCCCGTACACCTGCGACAGCTGTGGGGAGGGCAGGGCTGAAAAGCCAGCACTTGCATCTCTGCGACAGACTTAAGGCACAGCCATGCGCAGCAGGGGCCGGCAGGGCAGGCGTGGGCACGGCAGGGCCTTCACCAGGGGGCTTTGGACAGGCTGGGAGGTGGGACGGAGGGCGAGCGGGTGGCGCCGGGAGCCACATACCATTCTTGATGAACTTGAGCTCACTGGTCAGCTGGGAGACCTGGTCGTCCATCTCCCCAATGGCCTTGCGCAGCTGGCCGCACTCACACGGGAGGCCTGCAGGGGGCAGGCCCTCGAGTTACAAAGGCTGGACGAGGGCTCTGGCTCAGAAGAGAGGCGAGGACCCCTCCCCAGAAGGACGCATTCTACTCAATAAACACGCCACACGCCACAACAACCATCTCCCACCTCATCCCAAAGGCAGGGGGAGCAGTGGAACCTCAACAGGAGTGGAGGGAGGGCACACGCGTGTATTTGAAACCTTGCCAGCTGCAGGGGAGGAGAAGTGGAAATGCAGGCTGGCAAAGCAGCCCAGGGCAAGTCGGACGCGGGGAAGCGGGCCTGGCTCAGGGCATGCAGTGAGAAAAGCTAGATCCCCTGAGGAAGATGGCAGGGACGGCCAGCAGGCCTCCATGGCTTGGGGCACCGCAGGGCTGAGGGGAGCTGAGGGGGCAGCTCTCAGAGCTATAGAGGCAGCCTCGGGGCCATACCTGGTTGAGCACAGGAGGCAGAATCTGCCAACACAGAGGTGCCTGTGACACATCAGCTGGGAAGTGGGCACAGAGCTGGGCATTGTGGACACACACAGGGGCTGAGGGACAGCTCAGGGAGAGGGTTCAGGGCAGCATCACTGGGAGCACCTGCCAGCTGTGGGTGAGCCTGGGAGGAAGCAAGGAGGGCAGGCCATGCCCACTGCACAGGTGCTACTGAGTCTGGTGGGAGGACGGCCGGAGCGGCCCTGGGACCCACCACCTAGGGGCCAGGGGCTGTCCCAGCTGGACGATGGGGCAGGAGTGTGGAGGGCAAGGCAGAGTCCCAGAGTCTAGAACTCTGGTGAGCTGCAAACAAGCAGCCACTGGAGAGGGGCTCTGGGGCTTTGCAGCCATTCTGCTTTAAGACAGGAACTGCTTGCATGTATTGAAATGGTGGTAAGAGGGAGCTGATGGGGAGGGAGAAATGAAGCTGGTGTCTGCCCTTCCTTACACACAAGAGGGAGCAGCACAGGTGTCCTGATGAGGGAGATGCAGCCCCGGCGGGAAGCCACCTCCCACACTGAAATAACGGGGAGCTCCTCGAAGCCTTTCCAGGCAGCAGGTCTCATTCTCTGTGAGCTCATTCTGTTCCCACATGCCTGGGACCACATGTGGCTGCTAGCCCTGTACCACATCTGAGGCCACTGAGAGCCACGGGCCATGGAGAGTCTGAGATCTGAGCCCAGGCAGATAGTCTGGGCTCCAAAATCGAGTTTCTGTGCCCCTCTGGCTAGGTGGGAAGTCCCTCTGAGGCTCGCAGGTGGCACGGTGCCCAGCATACACAGCTGTCCTAAGCCCTCTCTGGCTGACCCATCTGCTGAGTTACCCTCCATCCTCCCAGCTCTGCCAGCCAGTCTCCAGGCTATGAGCCTGTTCCTAGTCCCCAGGCAGACCCCAGCCTTCCTCCTGTGAAGGGCAACACCTGGTCATCACCTCCATGGTGCTGGGGCTCCCCGTGGCCCGGCTGCCTTGGCCTTTCCCCAGGATCGGGGCCTGGGCCTGCCCAGCACTCGCTATCCACCCCATAGCTGTGGCATGCAGGCCAGCTTTGCACCTTTTCCCAGTTTCCCATGTGGAGTCTCAGCCCCCACTGCAGTCTGGCACATTTTGTAGAAGTTTAATCTCATCTTCCTGGACATCAGCAATCACTTACAGCCCAAACCACCTCCCTTGCACCCATACCTGAGACCCCTCACTCACAACTGCACATTTGAAACTCCATCTTTCGAGCCAGGTGAGGTGGCTCATGCCTGTAATCCCAGTACTCTGGGAGGCCGAGGCAGGCGGATCACAAGGTCAGGAGCTTAAGACCAGCCTGACCAACATAGTGAAACCCCATCTCTACAAAAAATTAAAAAATTAGTCGGACATGGTTGTGCATACCTGTAGTCCCAGCTACTTGGGAGGCTGAGACAGGAGAATCGCTTGAACCTGGGAGGCGGAGGTTGTGGTGAGCCAAGATGGCACCACTGCACTCCAGCCTGGGCAACAGAGCGAGACTCCGCCTTAAAAAAAAAGAAACTCGATCTTTCTTGGGTTTGCTTTGGTTTGGGGGTTTTTTAATGGAAGCTTTATCTGAGGCACATTTTCTAAAATCTATTTTATCATCAAGCTCACTGCATTTGAGGTGATAGAGGCTTTCTGAGGACATGCTGCTGGGAAGTGGATGGATTCCTCTCCTCTTTTAACCTCCACGCCCTCTGACCAAGGTAGGCCTGACGGCAGCAGCTCAGCCCCAGATGTCCCCTCTCCTGGCCCCGCCCTCACCTGCCTCAGCATCCTGTCTCCCAGAGGCTTTGTCAGGTGGCTCAGGTTGGCTGAGGGCCTGGAGGTACCCTGATCTGGTCACTCGGTGACGTGGATCCCAGCACACTCGTACTGGACCAAGTCACACGGGCAGGGACACCCCATGTCTGTGGTGCTGGAGGAACTTGTGAAACAAAGACTTTCATTCCAAAATCTAGCCCCTCTCTTTTCTCTCTGGTTTCCAAGGGTCGGATCCTTCTCAGGGAGGGAGCACCTTCTGCACGGTGCTGCAAAGCGAGTGACATCACAGAGTCACAGCGTGTCCAGGGGAGAAAGGCTGACTACAGCGAGCAGATGCCTGTGAAGGACATTCTCCTCTACCCCGCTGAACACACTGGACGCACCGAATTCTCTTCCTGGGTCCTGCTGTACAGCTTCTTGGTTGAGCGAGGAGGGGGAGGTTGGAGTCTCACTGAAAGGATATTCTAGTTACTGAAACACTGTATCTTCCACCCAAATCTAGTGTCTCTTAAGTATCTTCTGTGGTCAAGAAAAAAGCACTGGAGAGCACAGAGCCATCAGGATGTTATTCCAGGAATTCAGCTGGAAAGCAATGAGGCCTGAAAGAGGGAGGGGGTGGGAGTGAGAGGGGCCAGTCTGTGGGAGCAGCAGCAACTGCAGCCCAGAGGCGCTGAGGCAGAAGGAAGATTAGAGGATGCATGCCTGACACGGCCAAGGGGGATGAGTGAGCAGCCTGGGAGTTGTGAGGGGGATGAGTGAGCAGCCTGGGAGTTGGGGCATGGGGGGGACGTGCAGTACGGGGTGTGAGGGGGTGGGCGTGCAGCGTGGGGTGTGAGGGGTGGGTGCGCAGTGTGGGGCATGGGGGGGACGTGCAGTGTGAGGTGTGAGGGGGTGGGCGTGCAGTGCAGGGTGTGCATGGGGCATAAGTGTTCAGTGTGGGTGATCCAGGGCATGAGGGAAGAGCTACAGTGAGCAAGATGGGGAGCATGAGCCCCCAGTGGAGATGCCCACCAGACACGGGTCCTTGGGGCTTGCCCTCATGAGGGCCACTGTGTAGGGGCCTGAGGGTGAGGGCTGTGCCAGGGCTGAAGGAGGTCACCATTCTGGGGAGGGAGCAGAAGGGCTATAGAAGGAGCTTTGGGAGAAAAAGAGCAGAGTCGGGGGTGTGAAGGTGGGCAGAGGGCAGGGCACACTGTGTCCTGGTGACTCAGCAGCAGGAAGCAGGTGCCCCACAGGGAAGCCACGCCCACCTGGGCTGGACCCAAGCTCCCTGGGCTGGACCCGATCTCCCTGGGACTACCTGGGCTGGACCCCAGCTTCTGGGACCTACAAAGGGAGCCATGTCAGTGGAGCACCATTGGGGGGGTTGGCTGCAGGGATGTCTGAAATCAGGGTAAGAGCCACAGAGTTCAGATGTGCCTTCTGAGAAGTCTGGTGGTAGAAGGAGGAGACCCCTAGTGCCCACAGAGGTAAAGAGGTGGAGAATGCTCACCCTAGGACCGGGGTCACTGAGCCCCACTATGCACACAGATAGAATAACACCCTGGACAGGCAGACGGCGCTCCTGAGAGGTCGTCACACATTCAGGTAGAAGGAAATCAAACACGGAAGCATCTGAGACTATCACTGGCACGGGGACCACACGTCCGGCACCTGCACTCTGTTCCACAGCCCACTGCACTTCTATTTAACGACTCACATTGTTTTCAAAACTGCAAGTTTTAATACGTTCTATTAAAAATCCTTGAAACCTTTAGACCATACCTGGTTCCCCATCAGGACCAGGGGGTCCTATGTCACCAGAATCTCCTTTCTCACCTGAAAACGAAAAACAAGGTCCAAGTCACTACGAAGAGGCAGATGTGATCTATGCGTTAAAGACATCAAGACTGAAAATGAGATTTCTCTAGTGGACTTCTCCCAGGCCCTCTTGTAGCTGTGACATGCTGGAGCTCCATTCTGCAGGTAATTCCTGCTTCCGGCGCTTTTTATGTGATACGAAGTATAAACGTGTCGTGGGGTGAAGGGGATTATCAGGTGATCATTCTTTAAGTCAGTTCTGGAAAATCCAGGATATCTGACAGACCACTCTGCAGACACCGTCTCATGAATCCCTGGAGACATGAATGAGCAGCCACTCCTGCCAACAGCACCGCCCCTCCCCCTGCCCCCATGTCTCTCACAACAGCAGGAAAATCCAGATAGAGCCTGAAATGGGAGCGCAGGGCTGGCCTTAGAGCTCACCTAATCCAAGAGTCTTTCCTGCCCTGGCTCATAGCAGCCTGGTGTCCTGGAGGGCCCAGACACAGACCCCCTCCTGGCCTGGACCCAACCTCCTATTAGATGGGACAAGCCACCTTACCACCCTGCCCCTCAACTTACAAAACAAGGGGGTTGAACAAAATGATGGCAACAGGGCTTTCCAGCGGCTTTAAAGTCAAATCATGTGACTTAATAGAAGCAAGTCCTGGCCGGGCGCGGTGGCTCACGCCCGTAATCCCAGCACTTTGGGAGGCCGAGGCGAGTGGATCACGAGGTCAGGAGATCGAGACCATCCTGGCTAACACAGTGAAACCCCGTCTCTACTAAAAATACAAAAAATTAGCCGGGTGTGATGGCACGCGCCTGTAATCCCAGCTACTCAGGAGGCTGAGGCAGGAGAATTGCTTGAACCCAGGAGGTGGAGGTTGCAGTGAGCCGAGATTGCGCCTCTGCACTCCAGCCTGGGCGACAGAGCAAG